ACCGTTTTTGCACTTCTTTATCGACTACATCAAAAGTAAAAGAAGAAAAAATAAAAGAAATATGTACACACATTTTTACAGTAGAGTAAAAACTGAGGGCATCAGATGGCAGCTAAGGCAAATGAAGTGTACATGAATGAGAGCAGAAAGGAAACAACTGCTGCCTTTTTTTGTAAAATGTAATACCACTTCAGAAAGAAAACCTTTTCTTGAAAACTCCCTTCATCTGCAACCATCTGCATATGTAACGTTCAACTTTAAATGAAAAAAAAAAAGACTTCTACATTTTTACTGTACTGTACACTGATCTTGTCAATCATTTTGTCCTAGCTAAGGTAGGAACCTTCATTTTTGATCTGTTCATAACTTCGTTAAATAACTGTTCTTTGTAGATGGTAACCTGGAAAAAGAAACATCATGAAGCAGATCAGAAATTAACACTTTTGTCTTGAAATCACTCCAAATGTCAGTACCATTAAAGCCTTGAACATACTACAAACTATCCTTCAGATCCAAAAAAAAAAATGTACAAAAAGGCACGTTAAATCCCAGTGCTTCTGTACTGTAAAATTCAAGTCAGTGTAACTGAGCGCTTATCGTAGCCTACAATCCAAAAACAGTGACGTCATCTCTTCCCAGTCTCCCCTTCCGCTCATCTCCAGATCATCTTCAGTGCCAAAAGCCTTCAACAAGCATAAATCTGCCTACACTACAACACTGAGCCTATTTTGTTTATTTTGTCAATTTTTTTTCCCATTTTTTTTCATAATACATTTTAGTTTTCTGCTTAAATCCGTCTGTTCTCAGGGGGAAAATCGGTTGACAGAAGCTGTCCTCATCCATCAGTCAGAATGGGGGTGGGGGTAGAGAAAAGCCAGGCATGTGTGTGTTTTCTCCCTCGTTTTCGCTCCGTCTCACTCGTCTGAGCCTCCGTACATGTCGGCGAGTTTGCGGAATCGCGGTCCCCAGTCGTTGAGGTAATCGTAGTCCTGGTCTCCGCCGCTGCTGGACGAGCTGATGGAGCTGAGCGAGCCGGCTGTCGAGCCGCTGCCCTCGTAGTCGAACACCAGCAGCGAGTCGTATGGAGGAGCTGTTGGGTCACCGTCGGCTGCTTTCAGACCCTGCGCAGACAAAACAAAAAAACTATTTTAACCCAAAACAAAAACTTTCACATAAATAATGCATCTGTTCATTCCTATGTGCAACTTTTTCACCTTGGGTCAGTTGTGTATTGTTCTGAAAATTCTCATATATATATGAGTAGAGCTACTCATGGGGAGTTTGACGAACTGTACATTAAGCAGCACCCAAAACTAGGCTGAAAGTGTATGTTCTTAGCAAAAAAGAGAAAAACAAACAGCTTGAAATGAAGAAACCGTAAAAAAAAAGTATGAAAGAGGCACTAAAGCATCTATGTGTTACATTAACAAGAAGGTTGTCATTATTCAGCTTGTCTATGGCCATGTATATTAATGCAATATACATAATTATGCTACAATGCTGTTAAATTCTGCATTCTGATTGGTCAGAAGGTGTTGCAACAACTTGTTTAGCTGCTACTCAATACTCAATTTGTCTTATTAGCAACATTAAATGTAACTATAAATGGGTAAAAACATGCAATGTGTCACTCATCAAAAAATAAAAATGTAATCAGCGACAAATCTCTGTAGTGTAAGAGGAATAAAACAATTTGAGGTGAAACCAAAGAAAAAATCAATAACTCTTGCATTACTTAGCATCATAATAATATTGTTAAAAAAGACCTACGGTTAAATATCAGTTAACCTTATGAATGTCTTAGATTTCACTTTAAGAGCTTAAGTAACCTATATTACTATTAGATGCACTTCTGGCATAATGGATCGGAAACATAAGAAAGGGAGTAGGAAGTCATCGCTTCTCATTAAACCTGAGTCATAAAAATTCCAGTCAAGACCCTAATTCCTGCTAAATTCTATCCAATGTCATGTTTAGTGCGAGTATGAGTCATGTTTTGGTTGACATGCTACACATGCTGAGCACTATCACGACTTTGTCTGGAGTGTAACACATGGTGTGTGGGGAGGACAGGTCATGAGCAGGCCATGACATGTTGACATGCCCCCCCCCCCCCCCCAATGCACACTACACACTACAACAAAGCGATATTCAGAAGCATGTTTGCTATGTTTACGGTTGGTATTTGCCTGAAAGGACTGGATGTTAAATACAGCTCAGAAATGTCCCAGAGAATAAGTGTTTTTTTTTTTAACTTGTGGTATTAACTTGAGCACAAAATGGCATGAGGTCAGAATCCTTCATGCACCTTTCTTTCAAAAGCAACACAAATAAATGCACAGACTTTAACTCTGCCTTTAACTGCATCACTAGAAAAAGAAATAAAAACATACAGCTCAAGATTAAAATTCATTAAAAGTTAAAAGTCATCCTACTGTTTGGACGCGAACAGTTATGTTGTATTAAAACATGATAGCTAGCTAAAGCTACCTAACAAACATCTAGCCAGAATGCGTATTATTCAATGACCTTCAGAGGGTTCAGCTTTTATCCGAACAGTAACTCTACAGTTATAGGGGTGTGTAATTGATTGGAAATAAGGTCTGACACTCGTCTACTCATTAGTTATAAACAAACAGCTCATGCAGACGATATGTTGGATCAATCCTGTGACATTACGTGATGTGACCTCCTAAGCCTTAATATCGTCTCATTAGCTTGTTGTAAACAGCCCAATCCTGGAGCTATGAGAAAAAGCACAAACAGGCACCTCGTCCGTGCTCCAGGGGTCTGCTCAGCTCATTGTATCCGACCTCCACTTTGCACACTGAAAGGTCGAGCCACGAATCTTTCTCAGCATGGGGATTAATAATGATCTGAGGTGAACTGTGACCAGCACCGGATCCGGCTATGGTGAAAAAAACACCAAGAGCATGGTCTGCTTTCAGCACCGAGATTAAACGTTGTCCTGGACCAAGAAAGTGTACCTCAAAAGACTAACTGTAACCAAGAGCAGTATGTTCTCTCACCACTGAGGGCTTCAATAACTCTGTTAGCATACCATTACGGCTAAATCAAACTGAATTTGTACCAAACAATCTCTAAGCTGTGACTAATTGGTTCTTTTTTTTTTGTTCTGGAATTTATAGAGTGACCTTGAGCATGAAACATGAGAAGTGCTATATAAATAAAACCTTCTCTTTTTATTTGCGAGCAATTATTGAAAAATAACCTTCACCACTATGCCAAGGTATTGCCAAGCATGGTGGAGCAAAAGAATTTTTTTTGCTAAATGATATGATCAATTTTTGTGGAGGGGAAAAGCCAAGCTAGGTGGGATTGAAGTAAATCTCATTTAAATGAGTATAAGAGATTATCTGAGATATGCTGACCTTCCAATAAAAAACACAAACACAATAAATAAGCAATTTCATACTTCCAAAATGATTCATAAACTGTTCAAAGAAACGTAGCTGTGTTTTGTTCCTATCCTTCCTATCTTCAGCTGTCCAGTTTGGGTGAGCCTGTGCCCACCATAGCCTCAAATTCCTGTTCTTGGCTGACAGGAATGGCACTTGATGTGGTCTTTTGCTGTTGTAGCCTCAAGATCTGCCTCAAGATTTGACATGTTGTGAGATGCTTTTCTGCTCACCACACTTGTAAAGAGTGGTTATTTGAGTTACCATAGCCTTCCTGTCAGCTCGAACCAGTCTGGTCATCTCTATCTCTCTCTTCAACAAGGTGTTTCTGTCAGCAAAACTGCCACTCATTGGATGTTTTTTAAACTCTACAGACTGTTGTGCATAAAAATCCCAGGAGATCAGCAGTTAATTGATAACAATGAAGTCACTGAGATCACATCTTCCCCCATGTTTATAGTACAAAATAGCCAATAATATCAAAGTGTGGGGAAAAATCAACATAGTTAAGCAAAATTATTAAAAGTTGTGATTGCATAACTAGTCACGCAAGTTGGTGTGAAACCCCTAAATTAATGGTGCATCCATTCGCCATCAGAAGTCACATAATTGTGTGCCATTAAAATGTCAAATGTGGAAAAGTTCAAGAGGGGTGAATACTTATGCAAGGCAGTGTATCTTCTATACCCGACCATTCTTTCTTTCATGCCGGGCCTCCGGATCAGGGAGGAGCAGCGGAATTAGAAAGGAGCCACCATGCTGGGCAGGTAATGAGAAAATCGCCAGCGAGACGTAGCAACCGGCGGACATTTCCCCCTTCATCCCTGCCTCGCCACAAGAGCCAGAGAGTTAGAGAGAGAGATGTTCTCGAGCAAAGTGCTCTGCACTTCAAAGATGAAGGATAAGATAAATAAGCTCCCATATATCAAGCCGAGGCCGTCTCTACCAGCTGGGTGAAGAGAGGGAGAAAATGAAACAAACTGTCCCTGCAGGGCCTTGGGAGAGAGTTTCTTTAAATAAAACGGCAAAGTGGATTTGTTCGTTCGGTTGTGAAGACAGAAAGACGTGAACAACATGGCAGAGATTGAAATGAGCACCACTGACTCAGAGACACTCTCCCTTGAAAGACGTATTGAAAGATGCCCTTCTTACCTTAAAACATTTTTTAAATAAAAGAAAAAGAAGGATAGACGAGAGAGTGGATGGTTCCACTCTGCAAAATCTTTGGTAGTAAAAAGAAAAGAGGAAGAAGGTCAGGAAAATAAGTGTAGAAAAAGTAAATGTAAACCGTGTCCCAGCACTAGTCGTAAAAACATAGAGGGGTGTGTAAATACTCTCTAGTCCCATACAGGCTTCCGTTATTGTCGTAAAAGAGAATGAGCCTCAATTCTCTCAGAAAGACAAGATAGAATGTCAAGTTGGCTTTACACTGTGCAAGTTTTGGCTTAATTTTGCTGTCCTAGACAAAAATTGTACATCGAAAAAGAGTAGTTTCTTTGTGAGTTGAAATGGATGGGCTTAGAAGGCATCTTTACATATCATGGTTGGTCATTTGCAAAGTCAGTTAAATGGCCTCCTCAAGTAAACACAGGCAGTTCTGGACCACTTTGGGCTTTGAAAAATACCAGACTACAAGACCAATAGATAAAGTTTTGGTTTGCAAGTCTAGTCTTTTTGTCTCATTAGTCGGCTATGGTCCCTGGAGGACTAGTGGTTAGGCCATGGTGCTCTCTTTGCTGCAGCCCGGGTTCGATTCCTGGCCAGGGAACCAACCCCAGACACTGGGGTTGCACACGACAGCGCACTCCCAGTGCTGGTCCCAAGCCCAGATCAAATTGGGGAGGGTTACGTCAGGAAGGGCATCCGGTGTAAAAACTGTGCCAAATAAAATATGTGGACCAATGATCCACTGTGGTGACCCCTAACGGGAGCAGCCGGAAGAAGAAGAACAACAGTCTCATTAGAAGACTAGCACCAAGACACATGAAGCCAGCAATTTTTTCAAACTCCTGCTCATGCACAGGGCAGCTGAACACATTCTGAGGAAAGCGCTATGTGCCGTCTTCTGCATCCATCCATTTTCCATACCACTTATCCTACACAGGGTCAAGGAGCCTATCCCAGGGAACTTGGGGCACAAGGTGGGGGACACCCTGGATGGGGTGCCAACCTACTGCAGGGCACAACTGCACACACAATGGACAATTTGGAAATGCCAATCAGCCTACAGCGCATGTCTTTGGACTGGGGAGGAAACTGGAGTACCCCCTCCGCGAAACCCTGAAGCACAGGGGGACCATGCCAACTCTGTGCACACAGGGTGGAGGTGGGAGTCAAACCCCCAACCCCGGAGGTGCGAGACAAATGTGCTAACCACTAAACCGTGACCCCCTTCCGCATATATGAGCTCAAGAATGCCCATGATTGGCTAGTGGCTAGAAGCCATCCCTCCCATCCAGAGAGCACGGCCCATTTTTCTCTCTTGGACTCCTGGGCGTGGATGGCTGTGACCTCATTAGGATTCGTACTTCTGTCTTAGTAATTTGACAATATGTACTTCCTGCTTGTTTAGAAACTTTATATAGTGCGGTTTTGAGTATGGGAGTTGGATTTGGTCTAGTGGATACACAGAATCTAAAATCTATTAAGTATGTTTCCCTGTAAAATTACAGTTCAGCAATTTCTGATATCTTTGTTTGATGCTAACCATCAGCTTATTTGTTTCTTTTTCTCATACCTTTTATGTCATAGCTCTTGAACAAACACAATATTGACAATGGTGCCAGCAACCAGTAATCCTAGGATGTTAACATACTTCACTGTTTATGGTATCACATGGCTTTTGTGACTCAGGTCCCTGCCTCACATTATATTTCTAAATAATAAGCACCCATAAACTGAGCTGCAACCCCCAGCCCAGGACTTGTACTTCCTCATGGGTAATAACGACTCTTTCTGTGGCTCTGAGCTGCGTTTTTCTGGTTTTCTGTTTTCTGTTTTTCAGTCATGTGTTTTGCTGTTTCCTGGTTCTGACCCCCGCCTGCTTGTTTTTCAGAGTGTGAGTACAGATTGGCTCACACTCAGTTCCCTGCTATGAACCTCAACTATGATTCTTGGAAAAAACTAAATAAAGAGACTGCAATTATGGCTAAGTGCCTCTGGCCTCTGAGTGTTGAGTGACTCGATGTGGAAAAAAAGAAACCTCAGAATGATTGTGTTGTGAGAATCAGTAAGTAGCCAGTGTATCATTAAAAACCCATCTCCGATATCACCTGAGAATGTGCATGTGTGTGTGTGTGTGTGTGTGCGTCTGGGAGGGCGGTGTCTTATAGTTTTATATCTTGATGGTGTACCAAATGTCCCCTCAAGGATAGGAATACTTGACCTTGTGTTTTGACTTTGTGAGGTCTAACTGGTCCTCATTAGTTTTTTATTTTTTTAACAAAGACTGTGGCTTTTATTTAAAAATTAAAAGAGCCAAAATGTTTCATTTTGGTTACTGAGGAAAAGAAATGTGTGTGTATGTGTTTGTGTGTGTGTGTGTGTTTTACCTCATTGATGAAGTCTCCGATATCTCCGGGGTGTGGAGCGGCCGATCTGACCGGGTACTGAGGCTCCGGGTGCAGCGGTCTCTCGTCCAGTCTGCGGATCCCGACAGGCTTCACACACTCCGGATCCATAGTGTCCGGCTGCTGCAGCTGACTCAGATCATAATCCTACACACACATCCACACTCATAGTTAGCTTCTCTAGGCTAATTGTGCTTCAGGCTTCAGGCTCAAAGCTCCAGCTCTCCATAAACTCACTGTAATCCCATTAACATTGCCCTGGCGATAGGATTAGACCAGCTCTGGGTTCTGCTGAGGACCTGGGCATCGTGGAATAGTGGAGAACTGGAACAGTAGGCTTTTCAGTGACTCAGCATGGTTTTAACAAGAGGAACTGAATTGAATTAATCCTATTAAAAGTCAGGAGGCTTTTATGTTGAACAAAAAAAATATATATATAGGTAGTGTTGGTGCTCGAGTCCATGCTCAGACACACACAGTACGTTAAGCTTGTAGCTGTACTGTATGTATTAAACTCTATCATTATTAGAAGCACTTTTCTACACTTCCATTTCATGTCCTCAATTGGTTCATCCCAACCCTGTGACCCCACACACCCCTTTCTTTGTTATTGGTTTGATCTCTCTGCTTGGATTGAGCTACACAGACCTACTCACAAATCTAAGCACTAAACCCCCACCTCCGTGTTCCTGCAGCAGCCAGCACCGGATTAGGAGCTAAGCTGCTCTGTATGTCAGATATCTGAGATACAGGGTGTTCATTCCACTTCACTTTCACACACAGCTCCAGCTTCGGAATTGTGCTTAGGTACAATCCACCAGCCGTTCATCCACCCATCTAACCAACCCTCCATCCATTCATTAATCCAACCATCCATTCATCCATCTATTCATCTATCCAACCAGCCCTCCATCCAACCAACCATCTGTTTACTCATTTATCCATCCATCTATCCACCTATCCAAACAGCCCTTCATCCATCCAACTCCAATCAAGCCCTCCAACCATCTATTTACCCATTCATCCATCCATCTATCCATGCAGCTCAAATCTGTAATTCACCCATGCTTTCAATCAGCCATCATTCCAACCACCAATTCAACCATTCATCATATCATCCAACACAGCACCCAACTAGCCAGCCATCCATCCATCCATCCATCCATCTATTCAACTACCTGTCTGTCCATCAATCCATCCCTCCATCCATCCATCCATCCATCCATTACAACATCTATTAACCAATCTATTCAACCATCCTCTATCCATCTTGACATCTATGTACCTATCCATCATGACATCTATGTATCCATCCATCCATCCATCCATCCATCACAGCATCCATTCATCAATGCAACTAACCATCCATCCATCCCAGCATCTATTAATCAATCTATTCAACCATCCTCCATCCATCCTGACCTTTATGCATCTATCCATCGATCCTGATCGATCATGACATGTATGTATCCATCCATCTACCCATCCATCACATCATCTATCTATCCTTCCACCAATTCATTCTTCACAGTATCCATCCATCTACTCAACCAGCTGTTTATCCATCCTTGCATCCAACCAACTACTCATTCATCCATCCAAATATTCATCCAACCATCTATCCATCCATCCATCCATCCATCCATATAACACCCATTATAAAATCTGATTCTGATTAAGAGCCATCACTGTGGGTTTATAATTATTTATTTTAAGTGTGCTGCATGTTCAAAATCACTCCATCTCCTAAAACCTTTTTATCAACTTCACTTCTCCTCTCAGCACGACAGCAAGAAGGGAGAGAGAAAGAGGGAAAAAGACGGGGAGATGTAATGCACTGCTGTCTCTGACAGGCACTGCAAATGTTCTTATTTCTTTAGTTTTGTTCTTTCTCTGCTTTTCCTCCAGCACACACTCCACACAAACACACACCAACACACTCACATCTTCCTGCACCATGAGTTTCTCTCCATACCTCAGAAAATGTACAATCACTAAATTCAATCAAACGGTAGGAAATCTTTTAGTGTTTGCCACTGCTTTCTTTTATCTGCTTGCTCCTGATATCACTCACTGCATCTGGAGTGGATATATAGAGGAAAAGTGAAACTTGTACTATATGTACTATATATGTGTGTGTGTGTGTGTTTGTTTGTGTGCATGTGTGTGTTCCACTGTGAATGAAGCTCAGATCTAAGTTTTTTAAAAAAAAACAAGAAGAGGATTGATTGGTTAATTGATTGAGTGAGTGTGTGTACCTGGTCCTCCTCTCCACCTCCTTCCTCATCGTATTTAAGGATGTTGTCTCGGACGTCATCCTCGGGGTCGATCAGCAACTGTTTGGCCTGACGCTCTTTATCCTTCCTCTTCATCCACATCACAAACAACAACACCAGGACTAGAGAGATGCAGAGAGATGGAGAGAAAGATTTTGATTAAATGTTTTTTAAACATGTATAAGAAGGTCAGAATAAAGTCATAAAGCCATAAAGCTAAAGCCATAACACCATACTGCACGGCTTCACCTCAAGCTTCAATAATATAATATAATCAGTGTTCAGATTCGCATAAACACTGCGTTCATTGCTTTCGATGTTTACATTCAGCTAAACTTTGAGTGGATTTTTAATGAGTGGATGCTTAGCTTTATGCTTAATGCCAAGTAAAAAAGTAAAACCCTCAGATACAGCAGAGAGAAAACATTGGATTCCACAATTCACTGTTATGTATTGTTTTGTTTAATTAACAAAAATTATAAATAATTTTTTTAAATAATTCTTTGTTACAAAAAGGTATTGTAATTTTAATAAGATTGTCTGATTAGTAATTGTAAATACTTTTTAACAAAACTATAATGCATTCCATTTATTCCATTATAATTATTTTTTCTAGTATCTAGTACTGAAGTATTATTACATCATAAAATGTCTGAGCCAATCACTTTCCGGTATGTAAATACAGGCATTTGTTGTTGAAGTTTCCAACTTTCATTCTTCTCAAATCTTCATTTTTAAAAAATGTGAATGTTTTTTTAAATGATAATACTCCCACCTGTGATGCTCTACAGTTTACAGTCAAAAAACTAAAGCTTTTCTTATATTAGTGAAGAAAGAGGAGGTAATTTTGGCCAAGAAATTTAACTGTGCTGAAATGAAATAAAATATGTTAAGAAAATACTGTAAATAAGTAACACTACAAT